TCCCCCGCCGCCCGCCCTCAGACCTATACCCAGGGATTCTTTTGTATCACTTGGGGACGCCCTCTGCTCTTCTTACTCTGGCAATCGCCCAAACTCAGTGTCGGGGTGAATGCCTTCACTTCTTTCCCATCCTTCTGTGACAGCGGGAACGCTGCCCAGCTCACCCGTCCCCACCCCATTCTCCACCAAGCAGGGGTGGTAGAAGCCAGTCAGTGCAGCTTATTCCTTGGCCTCTCATTCCCAGTCTCACCCTTAAGGTGGCATCTCTAGCCATGGACAGCCTCTGCCGTGGAGTGTTTGCAGGCAACAGCCGTGAGCTCAGCGTCAGGTCTTGCTTTCCTAGTCTCTTCCAAGCTGAGCAAAGCCATCGTTCTGTAATCCTGGGGCTGCTGCTGGGGACAGGTGAGGGGGGCTTGGTTCCAAGGGTGAAGATATTGAGGACTCCCAAAGCGAGGGACAGGTAAAAGAAGTGCTAGTGTGATCATTCTTTTTTGCTTCTTTCGCTGCAGAGCGGAGGCCACAGCCGGACTCAGCACTTATTCGCCGGGCCCGGGCTGAGCGCTGGACCCAGTGGTCACTCCGTGGAGGACTGGAAATGTTGCCCCAGGCCCTTGACAGCCACCTGACTGGTAGGGGGGTCCATGTTCTCAGAGGCCAGCCAGTCTGTGGGCTCAGCCTCCAGGCAGAAGGGCACTGGAAGGTAGGGGAACCTTCTGGAGTATAATGGACCTGTGTCAGTGTTTTTATCTTTGTCTAAGAGGATCAACCAGGCCGGGGGTATAGAACTCGAGTTATACATTGTTTGCCTTAGAAGCTATGTGGACAAAGGTTACTCCAGGTTGCTAGGCCTTTTTGTGGACCTTCCTCAAAGACTCCTTTGATGCAACTCTGTGGATAGAAGTAGTGCTTGTAAGTGGCTTGGGGATGGAGAAAGGACAATCCAGCTTCACTGAACACTTCAGAGCGGCCACACTGGCATCTGGCCCGCTTCCCAGGGCATATAGAGCAGTGATCTTTGTGAGCATGACAGTCATTTAGTGTCTTCATCCTGGGTTAGCACCCAGCCTTTCCTGCCACTGGAGTGCCTGGGATACTTGAATGTGAGGCAACAAAAGTCTTACCCTATCCCTGAAATTCATTATCACTGTGTCTCTCAAATGTTTTCATCTTCTCAGGTCTCTCTAGGGGACAGCAGTCTGGAGGCTGACCACATTATTAGCGCCCTTCCAGCTTCAGGTAAGAGGGTAGCCCCCTCCTCTTAGCCAGAAAGCATGAGGCAACAGCTGTACCTACCTGGGCCAGCAGGGCCACACGCCATGCAGCCCCTAACCCAGCCAGCTCTAGGGGAGTCTAATCCCAAAGACAGCTGCTGTAATGGTGCTGTGAATCGGGCTTCTGCCTCATCCCCAGAGCTCAGTAAGCTGCTCCCTGCTGAGGCTGCACCTCTGGCTCATATCCTGAGCACCATTACTGCCGTGTCTGTAGCTGTGGTGAACCTGCAGTACCGAGGAGCTCATCTGCCTGTCCAGGTATGACAGAGAGGGGAAGGGGAGACGTAGGCTCAGCTGGAGCCCTTCCCCTCCTAGCCCATCAATTTCTTCCTCTCCAGGGATTTGGACATTTGGTGCCATCCTCTGAAGACCCTGTGGTTCTGGGAATCGTGTATGACTCCATTGCTTTCCCTGAGCAGGATGGGAGCTCCCCTGGCCTCAGAGTGACTGTGAGTGGGGACAGATTGGTTCAGCGGGCTTTCCAAAGGGCACCTGTGTTCCAGTGCAGGCAAGGCCAGGCTGGTCAGTGCTGCATTCTCTCCCTAGGTGATGTTGGGAGGTTCCTGGCTGCACACACTGGAAGCTAGTGGCTGCGCCTTATCTCAGGAGCTGTTCCTACAGCAGGCACAGGACGCAGTTGCCACACAATTAGGACTGAAGGAACAACCAAGTCACTGCTTGGTCCATCTACACAAGGTGAGTGGGGGCCAAACCTATTGTAGGCCTTAAAAGCAGCAACTGATAATATGTCCTTACATGTCAGCTAGAACTTGGAAAATCAGTAATAAACTCTTTTCTGCCTCCTCTTCCTCTTCCTCTCTCCCCAGAACTGCATCCCCCAGTATACACTAGGTCACTGGCAAAAAATGGGTAAGTTTGGAAAGCAGCTGGGCTGAGGAGGGCTGAGAAAGTGAGAGCCCAGCAAAAATACTCCTTTCATCATTTCTTTCCAGAGTCTGCTGTGCAGTTCCTGGCTGCTCAGAGGCTGCCCCTGACTCTGGCTGGTGCCTCCTACAATGGGGTTGCTGTCAATGACTGTATAGAGAGTGGGCGCCAGGCAGCAGTCAGTGTCCTGGGCACAGGACTGAACAGCTGATCCCCAGCTCCCACTCATGGAAATAAAAGCTGATGGTGCTTAGCTTGGTCTAGCTATTCTGTGAAATGTAGGCATGATGGGAGAGGGGGACTAAGTGTGCCTAGGATGCACAGAGCAGGAGCAAAGGCGAGACAAAGTCCTTTATTAGAAAATATATCAAAATCCCAGCCCCCTGAGCCTGGACCAGAAAAGGGAGTTACTCCAGCACTGGCAGAAAGTACCCAGGGAAAGGTTTCCTTCACCCAACAGCTTCCTGGGAACCATAAATAGAATAAATATTCACAGAGGTCCCAGGAGAAGCCAGATTACTCTCAGAAGGGAGTGATGTCCACGGAAGAGGAAGGGGCGTGGGGTCCAGCCCTGCTCCTACCCCAGGGGCAGGGGA